CTCTCTCTCTCTCTCTCTCTCTCTCTCTCTCTCTCTCTCTCTCTCTCTCACGACGTTTAATCCCTCACTCCCTCCCTACAGGCAAATCCAAAACACACACAAGTCGCTGCAGGTTCTTCCTCTCTCTCTCCGTCTCTGGCAACGAAATTCTGGCTTCAACTTCAGACAGAGTCGCCCGGCCCCGGCTCCTTTCCCTCCGTCTCCCGAAGAAACGTGAACAACGAGCGCGTGTGTTTCCTCGGCTCAAACAGAAGCGCCCGTTGTCAACTGTCCGGTTGACTCTACCTCCTCCTGCCTGTTTGTCTCCGCCTGGAGCTCCTATCCCAACTTTTACTAACCCCCTCGTGACAGGGCAGTTCCAACAGTGACGTCAGCACAACACAACATTGAGCACGCGCGCGCGCTCCATCAGCTATGGAGTTAAACTATGATTTATGACCCCAACGACTTGCCATACTAAACAATTATCAGAGCAGTGTCACATTACTGAGACAAAACTATTGTTCTTGTGAAGCTGTTTTATGTTTTTTTTTTTTTTTTTTTTTTTTTGTGAACAAAGATATTTGGAAGCACGGAAAATAAATTGTTATAGCCCTAATTTATTTGCATTAGAAACACTAAACTTCAAAATATGTATTTTCTTAAAAACCAGTGTTGTATAAAATATCTCAAAGTGATACTTGAGTAAAAGTACAAGTATCTTATCGTAAAAGTACTTTGGTAAAAGTTAAAGCCTTCTCTAAAAGTATTACTTGAGTAAAAGTCTTAAAGTATCTGATATTTTTTGTGCTTAAGTCTCAAAAGTAAATTTCTGACACAAAATCTACTTAAGTTTTAAAAGTAAAAGTACTGAGTAAAAGTGAGCAGTTTGATTTTCCAAAATGACATTTATTAGGAGCAAAAATATTGTTTTCTAACAGCGTGCAGCTGTGATGGGTTGCGTACAAGCTAATAGTGTGTCAGAATGGTATATATTTATACTTCTCATCCAACCACAATTAAATTCACTCTATCCAGGAGACAATTTATCAGGATAGTATTTTTTTAAATACTAACTCAGAATAAAATAGGAGTAACGACTTTCTACTTCTTACCTTTTTAAAAAATGCAATGAGTAGAAAGTACAGATAATTGTGTGAAAATGTACTGAGTAAAAGTAAAAAGTACGCTGAAAAATAATTTCTCAAGTAAAGTACAGATAACCGAAATTTCTACTTAAGTACAGTGACAAAGTATTTGTACTTAGCTACTTTACAACTCTGCTTAAAATACTTTTGCTACTTTGTTTTGGGGAAACATCACATTATAATTTGGAGCAATGCCCCATTCATTGAAAATCCTGAGGGCACACCAAAAGCAAAATCCAGAATTTTTTTATGTTGTTATCATGTAAATGTTATTTGCAGAGTACAGGAGGGAATACGGGAGTTAGGGAAACATCTTCTACACATACAGTAGGTCGAAATTAGTTTATTTTAACATCTTAGGGGTGGCTTTGCTCTCTTTGGTGGGGCTCCTACAAGCTATAATTAATAAGTATGATGACAAGCTGCACTTTTCAGTGCAAGAGCTTATCCTTGCTAACCAGCCTTGTGAATGATCTCAAACCATTGTTATAAATGTGCAGATGTCAGCATTTTCTAGCCATCTAAACTGTGGATTGTTTTGTGGAGTTTTTAATTTTAATTTTTATTTTATGATGTCATTTTTGGATCAATACTCATATGGACTCCTGGGGGTGAAAAAAACATTGTTCTCATCATAAACAGAAATGCTGCTATGCAGTTTGCAGAAGCTGGAAGCAAAGAGCAGCGTGACAGCTCAGTGGTTAGAACCGGTGCCTCACAACAAGAAGGTCCATGGATCCGATCCCCATTTCGAACCTGGTATCTGTGCAGAGTTTGCATGTTCTCCTCGTGTTTTGCATGGATTTTCTCCCACAAACCAAAAACATGCACACTAGGTTGCTTCCAGGCCTCCCTTGCAAGAGAGATGTGTGATCTGAAAGGGTTTTGCCTGGTTAAATAAAGGTTAATAAACAAATGTTTTGCTGGACAAAGAAATGCTCAGCTGCTCCAGGGGCCGCAACCTTCCTGACTCAACCCGAGCTTGGACCTGCAGCCTGAGGCCTACAAGGCCAGGGTACTGGACCAGGGAGGTGCAGCTGCCAAAGGTACGACTTGAACCCAAGTTGTCTGGGTTCTCGGTGAGAACTCCACTGCACCGTGCATTCTTCAACCCTTTAATATGTAAACAGACCCCTTTAAATATAACATAAAATAAAAAAGTTGAAAGTTGTTCTACAAGATATCCAAATGAAATCATGCACCTCTTCTAGCTCTAATAACCAACTTCCAATTTTGATTTTGTATATGTTAACATTTATCATGACTGTTTGTTTTCACAAAAGTTGATGCATTTTTGCATTTGCTGCGTTTATTTACATGATAAAGATGTGATTTTTGAATAATTTAGGATACAAAAATTGCAATTTTAAACGAAGTGGAACTGGAAAGATAATTTAATAGAATTATTATTATTATTATTATTATTATT